GAGGCCTAGAAAACCAAACTTGCAAAAGTTAGGCCACCACAAACTTTTTTCGAAGTCATCTCGAAAGGACACACTGTTCAAAAAAGTCAAAAAACTCACAAAGAAAGTGTTATGTCTGGAACTCTCGGGATGCGCCGCCACGGTTCGTATCAAATGCGACGCCTTGGCTCGATAGCACCGTCCATCAGGCATCTGAACCGTCTCTCCATGATTATAGAGACAGAACTCGTTCCATGGAGTTGGCGCAGCAATCATACTGCCTGTATGGCCAATTCGAGGACCCTCTATCTGATGCCACGATCCAAGGTGGATGGCTGCTCGATGCAGAAGATCCAGATAGTTTAGTGGGGACAGATAGGCGACGTAGAGCGAGAACGCGGTGAGACCAACGACGATGCCAAGTTGGCACTCCCAGAATTCGTTGATTAGAATTTTTTGAGGCATTCCTTGACTCGTTTTGTACTGGAAAAAGAATTTTTTGAGTTTTTTCCAATAATTCAATTTCTTACCGGAACAAAAATACATGGCAACATGATACTGAGGAACGCAGTTGACACCCCCGCAAAGATGCTTTTCTTTACACGTAGTACTAGATCATCAATCAAAACTTGAATTTCCTCTCGAATCTGCGCTGGATTATCGCTGCACATGTGTAGCACGGATTCAAGGTCTATTTGAGCCGGTGGCGAGTCCATTAGACGATCGCAAAGCCCACCGAAATCCACTTCTTTCCGACGCCATTTGCCGAGAAGGTCACGAAGCCGGCCGAACCATCCGATGATTTCAGAACGGAATATGAAGATGTAGCAGAGGATTCTGAAGCGTCGTCGTGAAAAAGAAGCCACGTGGTAAGTAGCAGGGATGTTCGGAACGGAATTCGGAATTCCGAAAATTTTAAAACCGGAGTATTCCGAGATTTTAAAAATCAGAAACTTCCGAAACTTCCGAAATTCCGAGTTTTGAAAATCGGAAATTTCCGAAATTTCAAATTTTCGAATTTTTTTAAAATCGGAATATTCCAAAATTCCGAGATTTTGAAAATCAGAAAATTATGAAATTCCGAGATTTTAAAAATCGTAAAATTCCCACATTCCGAAAAGGCCATTCCGAACATCCCTAGCTCGAGCCACGTGGCAAAAAAGGCAAAAACTTACGGAAAGAGAAACCAGAGCACCGATTGGTTGGGAAAATCATGACAGACCCTGTTGAAACTGAACAGAAAACTTGTGATGATCAGAGTCATCACTGGTGTCTTGATAGCTGCATACTCGATAATCATCAATGATGACTGAATGAATTGGGATCGATTCGCTGAGATTGTAGCTATCACTTCTGTGATTGTCTTCCAGAAGCATACGGTCACTCGCCAGCCTAACAGCAAGCCCACACATGATAAAAAGTACGGGTTGATTAGGTGGAATTTCTGAAATTCTCCTCGATTTCGTTTTTTTTTAAATCTCATTCACTTACAAGTGAATAGTGCCAGTATGACTTTGGGAGCCACCAAAGAGTTTTGTAGATATTAAGATATTGCAGAAATAGTGCCAAGACGGAATACAAGAAAAGAGTGCACTCGAAGAAGAGCTCGCCCTGTGTGAACTGAATGTCTGGCCAAATTGGATGGACTGAAAGTGTGACGCCACTGGTTCTTTGAGCAGGAACAGAAGTTGTCGACTGATTCTGACTAGGCGGAGGCGCCGGACCTCTCCGGCGAGGCGGCATTTTTCTATAATAGTTGTGTGCTAATCAACGCTAGAACCCAGATCTAGATGAATGTACTGATGGAAAGATCACCGTTGTTTTTTATTCTATAAGTGGTGGGAAGAGAGTATTTTGTTGTAACAATTTCATTAGAAGAACAATAACATTTATTGTGGTGGTGGGGCTCCACGTCCGAATCCGGCTCTGAAAACTGGTCCAGCTCCTGGTCCAGCCTCGGTGACCTTCTCGGTTCTGTAGGCTTCACGGTCTCCCTTCTCTCCTTGAGCTGAATCTTTCAGTGGCATTAGTTAACAGCATTTCGATTTTGAAAACTTACCGGCGCGTGGCACTCTGTCTTCAGCTGGGACGCGGATCTCTCTTGGCTTGGTCTTGATGGTGGCTGGGACGATCTCGGATGGAAGAGCGAGGTACTCACGGAGGTACAAGATTCCGGCGTCGGTCAAGTACCAGTAGTAGTGGCGCCAAGCGAATTGCTCCTTAACCAACTCGCGGGAAGCGAGGGACTGGAAAAAATATTTAAACCTATTATTAAAGAATAAATACTTACCTTCAAGGTCTTGATGACCTCGAGATTGGTGACTCCCTCAATGTTTGGGTGAGTCTTGGCATTGAAGTCCTTCTTGGCGACAGTCACACCCTCGTTGAAGAGGTACTCATAGATGATCTTGGTGTGGCTTTTCGGGATGAACATGATGACCGCAAGTTCTGAAAAGATCAAAATTTTCCACATGTAAAAGAAGAAAATTGAAAAAAAAGTTACGGAAAGGGCAAGAATTCGACTATTATTTCTGAATTAAACCGTCCAGAAGGCTTAGAAAGAAACAACAAGATTTTCGGAGAAATCCATTAGAAAGTGAGAATATAATAATTAGGCCAAGTGCGCGAAAATCGATATGCAGGCCTATTTTCGAAGCCTTACCAGTGAACAATTAGTGAATAACGCATTAGAGTGCTCGAAAATACCGTTTTTGGCTGAAATATTCGGAAAATTTTCAAAATTTCGTCAAAAATTCCGCTGTTTCGGAAAAAATTTGCAGAGAAAAAAGAAAAATAGTGAAATTTCCGGCTAATGCATTAGATAGGGGCACACACGCAGCGAGGCGACAAAATGCGTGCTTTCCCGAAAATCGCACAGTTGAAACGACTGTTACCGTAGTTTTGATGCGTGGGTGCCCCTATGATAAAGCACTAGAGAATTTTTGAAGCCGAAAAAGACTTTTTCAATTTTTTTTGCAAGGCCTAACTTTGCTGAAAATAAATTTTTTTGAATTTTTTAAAAATTGCTTCGAAATTTCATGAAATTCTTCACATTTGTATGTCAAATTCTCGGGGAAACTATCGGCGGAATTTTCATTCATGACGGATCCTAAAATTTGCATTTTTGAAATTGAAAAACTTGTTTTTTTTTTCATGATTTTCTGCGAAATTTCGTTTTTCTCGATTTTCAAATTTTTTGTGTTGTCCATTTTAAAATTATTTTTCCAGTTTCGTCAAGCGAGGGCCATTCAACAATGAAGGTCGAAACCTGCGTTTACTCCGGATACAAGATCCACCCAGGACACGGAAAGAGACTTGTCCGCACTGATGGAAAGGTAAAAATATCGCTTTAAAATTGGAATCAATTCATATCTTGCAGGTCCAAATCTTCTTGAGCGCCAAGTGCCTCAAGGGAGCTAAGCTCCGCCGTAACCCACGTGACATCAGATGGACCGTCCTTTACAGAATCAAGAACAAGAAGGTAACACTTTTCGAAAGCGTTGACCTAATTAAACAAAAAATTTCAGGGAACCCACGGACAAGAGCAAGTCGCCAGAAAGAAGACCAAGAAGTCCGTCCAGGTTGTCAACCGCGCCGTCGCCGGACTTTCCCTCGAGGCTCTTCTCGCCAAGAGAAACCAGACTGAGGACTTCCGTCGTCAACAGCGTGAGCAAGCCTCTAAGGCCGCTAAGGATGCCAACAAGGCTGTCCGTGCCGCCAAGCAAGCTGCCAACAAGGTAATTTTTACACTTGACCTAAATATCTCGAGTAGTGCATGCTATTAGAACTCGTAAGAAACTTCGTAATCTTACGAGTGTCGAAGATATGCAAAATAAAAAGCATGGGCACAAGTATCATGTGTTGGTATCATTGTTTCAAGTTATTTGTTGCTATGGTATCGATAAGCATGCTACGTGTGAAGTGCGACAATTCATCTAGAATCTATCATAGAAATGTTTTAAAAAAACGAAATTTATAGTCCTAATAGCAATGTTACTTTTTTTCAGGAAAAGAAGGCCTCCCAGCCAAAGACAGCTACCAAGGCCGCCAAGAACGTCAAGACCGCTGCTCCACGCGTCGGAGGAAAGCGATAAACGTTCTCGGTCTCGTTATTGTAATAAATGTTGTTGACATTTACAGTTCACTCATGACACAATTTATCCTTAACAAGTCTTCTCTTCTAACTATTTACGAAACAGAAGAAGAATGACCGGAATACCCAAAGCTATTTAGAATGCTCGATTCTCGGATTCTCCATGTTAGTTGTATAACAGCCTGCTTGTCTGTTTTCGCGTATCGAGTTATTCAAGACATTGCTATAGATATTAGGTTATTGGATTCAGACTCGATAAGTGATAATATTCAATCTGATAAATTCTGCAACGTTGTCTTCGACCATTTTCATCTTGGAATCTTCCTTCGCAATGAAACGTTCTCAACTGAAATCCTTCAAGCCAAGTTGAAGACGATCTTCAGTAAAATGTTGTTAGTGAACAACACTTAATCTCTTCCCGACATATTATTCCCTAATTCAGTTTAATCCAATTCCTCAACGAGCAAGCAGATTTTCTTCACATTTTGGAAGAGGGATTCTTAACAATGCGATTTGTAGCCTATTTTGGTTTCATGGCAGTTTGCATAGCACTGATCGAAGTGTTGGTGGTTCGACGAATGGGACATCTCGTGCGAAGCTATAGAGCGTTGAAACAGTTGGAATCAGAAGAGAGGAAGGAGTGGTTCAACTGTATCAAAGAGTTTTCACAGGAGAAGATGGCTGTCTTATTGTTTTGCATAGCAAGAAATCAAGCTCCGCCCATAAAGTAAGGCTTGGTCTCGCCACGAGCCACGTGGCAAGGCAGCGGAGTCGTTCAAACTTACAAAGTGTTTCAATTGGAAAAAAACCTTAAATTATCAAAAAAGCAGAATTCACTGGAAAAATACGATTTCAGCAAGCACTACATCGACTTTGGCGAGTATGTCCGAGACACAATTTCCCTTCGAGCCCGCTGCACCGATATCACACTCTTCGCCTGTTTTTACTGTATGGTAGCTATCGGACACGTGGCGACGAACTCAATATTCGTCAGATTCATGAAGACAGTACCGCTTCTGGAACGAAACCTAAAAACGAGACTTCGTGGAGAATCGGTTTTCGTCGTCATGTATTTGACATTGAATGCGTTGGTAGCGCTGTCGGCGATCCTGATCGGCGCCACGATTGTTAGCTACGCGTTCGTTCATTCGGATTATGCCACAATTTTTGTGCTAGAGGTGGGGAATTTGAATTTGGCGGGCAAAATGAGCAAAAAGAGATTGGGAAACATTTTCAGAGCGCTCGACTGTTTATTCGAACAATGTATGTGCTTGATCGTCTCACTCAATGTGTTTGTGCCAGTCGAATGGAGATGATTGAGAACAGGGTAAGGTGTCTTGTCCGAGTGTACTACACGAGAAGTGTTTCAGTCGAGCGCGCTTGCAAACCTAATTTTGAAATTTCGAGACCCCGCAAATCCCAGAGAAAAAATTTTCCGGGGAAAAAAAACTCCGGAGAAAAGTGGGCGGAGTCGGGGGCGGAGCCTAAATTGCAACACTGGCACGGTTTTTTAGCACATTTAGAATTTGCGGGGTCTCGTAATTTCGATTCCAAAAAGCGATTTTTTTCAGCAAAACCGCCTAACTGATGACCAAATTTCTGCCATTCTCGTCACTGGATTCCAAAGTGGTGTCACCCGGAAAACATTCCGGAATATTTATATTTATTCGACACTTTTTATGTCACTAATTCTTTATTCGTTTTTCGCGGTGAGTGTGTAAGGCATAAGACACTGTGTCACAAAAATTGTGATGTCTGTTGAAAAATGATCTGAAATTTTTTGAAAATTCGTCACGCTCCAGGAAGAAAATGCCCGCAAAATGGTGTTCTGTTGATTCCGGAAGAGTTCAATGATTAGTCATATGATTCAATTTTTGCAGATTATGAAAAAAAAAGAAAAAAACGAAGTTTTGAAATTCTAAAAAATCCAAAGTTTCTGAAAATTTGTTTTTTTTTGTTGAAAATTTTGAAAATTCAAAAATTCCATTATTGTAAAAATTCAGATTTTCATAGTTCTTCGAAATCATCTGGAATAATTGGGAAAAACCTGATTTTTAAATTTTTTCAGATAAATCGAAAAAAAATTCCATTTAGGTCGGTCGAAAATCGCTGACAGCCGACCGAGCTGACCGATCGGTCGGCGCGCCAACCGTTTTCGTTCATTTGCCTATCAAACCACGAATTTTTGCGTACGCAGCACTTTATTTTACGATAAACGTGGCATTTAATGAATAGCTTGTCGTAAAATACAATGCAATGTACGCAAACACTCTGACGCACAAATGCACAAAAACGTGTCAGCGCGCCGACCGATCAGTCAGAAATGCTCCTTTTTTTCAGAAAAACGGTCTATTCGTAAATCGAAAACTTCTGGCGATGCGATTCGTGACGGAAGTCGTCATCACTATCGATCGAATCATGAATACCGAAAGGATTCGGTCAACGGAACTTTTATAATTTCTAAAATTTTGTAATTTTGTAATTTTTGTGCATAATTCTGTGATTTCTTGTACAGGTTGTATATTTGATAACAATTTTATTAATTTATAAATTTTATTATTATGACAATTTTTCTTTCAGAATAACCCGTAATTGTCGTTATTAGGTTGGGGGAAAATAGAGATCGCGAGGCTACAAGAAAATGATGCAACAAATGAATTTTTTCAACCGAAAAGAGCCAAATTAGAGAGGATTTTTCAGCAAAAGACGGATGAAGCGTGGCAGTGTCGACTGCACTGGGTCCTGCTCTTCCTTCTCTCTCCACACTGGTTTTTTGATTTTTCGATTTCGCGGTGTTTCTAGAAGATTCTCCAATAGGAATTGTCGTTTTTTATGATGCGCTGGATGAAGGGGAAGTGATCGTTTGACATAGTGGGTACAGCATCTGACACACTGTACAGGCGACGTGTAAATGGAGCAGGAAGAGTTACAGTCGCATTGGGTACTGTAGGTAACGTGGAATCCGACGATGATGAGGAGTCCGAGGAAGGGGAATTTCCCCATTTTTAGGCCTGGAAAAATTTGAATTTTTGGAGGAAAATCGGGTTTTTGTGAGTTTATGTTAGGCGAAATAAAATGAGAGTCAGGAGAAATCGAGGGTGGGCGGAGCTTAGGAAATCCTTAAAGGCGCATTTAGAGGAGCATGTATTTTTCCGTAATTTGTTTGTTTTAATGCAATTTTTTGTGAAACAAAAAGATCAAAGTCGATAAATTTCATCGAAAAATAGGTCAGAAATTAATTGAGAAAGCCGAAAATTCGAGAGTGGGCGGAGCTTAGGTCCAACTTTTTGTGGCTTTTCCGAATTTTTGAGAGCAAAAAAAGTTAAAAGTCGATGAAATTAACCGGAAAATCGATAAAAAATTCCATCGATTTTTGATTTTGTTTTTCACAGAAATTCGGAAAAAACTGCAAAAAACTGAATGAAAACCATGATAATACGTACCAAAATACATGCTCCTTTAAATGCGCCTTCAAGAATTTCCTAAGCTCCGCCCACAATCGAATTTTAAGCCGGAAGGAGAGTAATATGTACAGAAAATTCAAATTTCCTCCGAACTTCCCAACAAAAAAAATTCTAAAATTAGAAAGTTGAAAGACTAATCACCCGTATTAAATATTCTCTGAATCGGAAGTCATGTGACGCTCTGCGCCTTTAAAACAGTTCTTTCAGATAGTCGAATTACGCGCGAAGCACGTAATTTATGACGCAAATTGGATGATGCTGTGTTATTTTTCGCAAAAAAAAGTTATAGGTGTGTGTGTGTGTGTGTGTGACAGATTATAATTTTTAGACAGTTTTCATGGAGAAGCTGGCGACCGGAAATACAGCTACAGTAGCATTTTTGGGTTACTGTAATTTCGAATTTTTGGAAGTTTGAAAAGTTTCCAAAATGATGAGAGAAGTTAGGAAAAACTACAGTAGCATTGTTAGGTTACTGTAGGGATTTGGAAATTAAAAAATTATTTTTAAAACTTAAAATTTAGAAGATTTTAGTGTCGGGTTACTGTAGGAATTTGGGACCTTGGAAATCCCGAAAAACTAGAGAAAAAAATCAGAAATTTTAAATTTTCTCTCCAGATTACTGTAGCTAACGTTACGATAGAATTATGGAAACTTCTTCGAAATCCAAAAAAAAAACTTAAAATTCATAATTTATAGGATTACTTTAATAGCCAGAATCATTCTTAATTTGATTGGGAAAGGCAACATTAATATCGGGTTACTGTAGAATTTCGGAACTTTCAGTGGAAACGGATTACTGTAGAGATTCGAAACTTTGGAATTTTTTGAAATTTTCAATTTTTCTGGATGACTTTACGAAAAAAAGGATTATGAGAGAGAGAGAGAGAGAGAGATTAAAGATTACTGTAGGTTACGGTAGCTACTGTAGTGAATCTTTAGTGTTATTGGAAGAGTACTATAGGTGAGCAAAAATTTTTCTGTTTGGAAAATTTTTTAATTTTCAAAATAGAAATTTCCAATACCTATTTCCCAGATTACTGTAGCTCTACGAAATAATGATTATTATGAAATTTTCTCAAAATCCAGTTTGAAAGATTACTGTAGCCAAAGTACTGTATTTGCAAAGCAAGCGTAGTAATCCTTATAAATGTCATAAGGATTACTGTAACAGACTGTTCATGAGGTTATGGTAGGTTGGGATACTGTAATTGAGATCAAAGGGTTACTGTAGGTATGACATTTTCAAAGATTACGGTAGATGTGAATATAAAGCGTCAAAAAAAATTATTTTTGGAAGGAATAAACAGGATTACAAATAATTTCAAAATCAAAAATTAATTTGTTAACTTGGACGTTTTTTTAGGCTCCGCCCACTTTTTTCTCAAGAAAATGACACAAAGAATGATGAGAGATTTCATCAACTTTCAGAAATCATTTCTGACTCAAAATGTCAAAACTACAGTAATCCCTTATCAGTGTTTACCATGAATATTGTCAAAAGTTTAAATACCAAAACAAAAAAGACATTTTTTTGGATGAAAAAAAAATGTTGGGGCATAAAATTTGGGGTGGGAGTGTCTTCAAGATAACGACAGACAATTGCGGGGGAGAAAAGAATTTCTCGGAAAAAGGGGCGGATCCTATTTTGGTTTGGGCTGGAGAACTGATATGGAGAGAGAGATGGAGAGGAGAGAGAGAGAGAGAAAAAGGAGGAAGTGGTTTTTTTTTGAAATTGAAGGATCTATGATTTTCAGAATATTCTGGAATTTCAGAATTTTAGAATCTTGAAAAAGTTCCAAAAATTCGAAATTCCACAAAAAAGTTTTCAAACTAAAAAAAAAAAACGTTGCGAAGTGACGAATCGACACAGGAAGAATCTTATAATAAGTACCTCTTATCACTAGGAATTTTTGCGGAAAATGAGGAAAAATTAGTCTCCCAAAGGTTGGTGCTCTCTTCTCTTTTACAAACAATGAGTCGAAATGTGTAAATGTCGTTTGCTTCTTCCTCCGATTTTTTGATATTAAGCAAAGCACACACATTTGAAAAAAGGCGTTAAATCAGCAATAAACAAGAGCAAAAAGATGTTAGCATCGAATGGGCTCGAACCCACGCACCTCAAAATCAAAATGTGTGGGATTAATGGTGAGGAGCGTTACCACTGAGCCACGCGGGCAGCTGGAAGCTAAGGGCCATAAGGCAATGATAAAGGATGAAGAGATGGAGGAGGGGAGTAAGGGACTCGTCCGGAGAGTTTGTGTTGAAAAACTTTCTGAAATTTTAAGGCTTTTTCTAGAAACTGTAGTTTTTGTAGTTTCCATAGTATCCATGGTTTGTAGCTCGACATAAAGCACGATTTTACTGTAATTTATTGTGATTTTCATCCGGTTTTCAGATTTTCTACTTCTCTGACTTTTGAAAAGTTTTCCTGTTATATTTATTTTTTCAGAAACATGTAGACTAGAATGTCCCACTTATCAATGATATAGGTTATCATCGTCATCCCATTTTTCATTTTTTCACGCTTTTTATGACCTAGTTTTTCTAGAAACTAGACAACTCAGAGAACAGCACGTAGTCTAGAATTTTCGTGATTTTTATGACTTGTATTCAGCGAAAATCATTAAAGAATCTTCACTGAAAATAAGGAGGTTCGAATGTTCGCGGGGTGTAGACACCAAAGACTACGCGCAGATTCGAATTTTCAACTTCTTTTGCAAAAACCAGTGCTCGATCTCTGTCCATTCTTTGTCGTTGAATTTTCAGCTGTTAATTGAACACGTTACTTTTCGATTTTCAGCAGAATAATTATATTTTCAGCTTTTCCCCAATAGGAAAATTCGACAATTATTTCCGGTCTCTCCCACTCAGTTTTTAGAGCTTCCGTAACAATATTTTTTCTTATCAATTTCTTTTTGTTTTAAAAAGTGCGTATTTCAAAAATGACCCATAATGACATCATCAGGAAAATTGGAAAAATACGGAAAACATTTGCAAAAAAAAAAGAAAGTTTCAATTTAAACAAATAAAAAATTGCGGGGGTTCTGTCGTATAGATTTCAGAATACGGCGTACTCTCGAGCACGTCGTCTTTTTTCTTCTAAAATATCTGGTGTCAAATGAGCACTTGAGTTCTAAAGGGGGTCTTGAGAGAAATTTCAGAAAATTCTAGAGACAAAAAGGTCGACTTTCTTCAATTTTCGATAAATTTCGGTTTTTAATTTTTAATCAGGGCATCACTGTATAGAAAAACAAGCTGAAAAACAACAACAAAAACTTTATTTTCAGAATTTTTTTCCAGATGACGTGCCGATGACATGCAACTCCTGAATTCTCTGAAAAAATCCTTTAATTTTGAATGAATTTCTTTAAAAATGTGATTGCTTTTGTCTGTAAAAACATGTATTTATTTTTAAATAAAACAAAAAAGCAGATCTGTAAAAATAACAAAAAACAAATTTCAAAAAATTAGCTCTCCCGCGAATTTTTTTTTCACATTTGAACTTGCCACGTTGCAGCACCACCCAACCTGAATTTTTCGTTTAAAGGGGGACTCCGACCAAAAATTTTTATTGCATTAAAATGTTTGAAAAATTCTCTTTTTTCCTAATATTATAGCGAAAAAATTCGAAAAAAATCCGAAATCCCCGAAAAATGCCGTTAAAAGCGAAATTTTTTTTTTAAAAGTTGCTAGGTGGGACGAGGATTTGAATTCCCGCGCAGTGAGAAA